GAGATGTCGGTCTGAATACCGCAACATGACCCATGACCCATCCCAACGCTCATCTACTGTATGTAGACCTCAATGAAGCCTTGTTAGTTCTTCATAAAGTCACGGTACAAAAAGGCAACATGGAACCTTCAGAAGTAACCAATTTCTTGTCCAAACTTGGTCAGATTCCCCAAGAACAGGCCGTGGTCGTAAGGGGCGATGAGATTCAACACACTCCTGCGGTACAGCGTGGAGATCCTGCAAAGCTTCACGACGCCGCAGTTATTGGATGCGCTGAGGGCCTTCGTGAACTTAGGCTTGCCTCAATCCCATAGCATTCTGGGATTGTACGAAACTGAGTTCTGTCGGCGAGACTGAGCTTCACCATTTGCTGCTCACGGCCGACTTGTGGCGATGCCTCGGTCGAGCTGTTCCTAAGTACCTCGAGAGGCTCTTTGACAACGTGAGCCGAAACTTGAAACCAGATGGGTGTTCCAGAGTTGGTTCAACTCTTGTACATAATCGGAGAAGGCAGGAGATGTCCGGATACACCTGGTTCAACCCCTTGAGTCCTTACTTATCCGTCATTTGAGCCAGTTGAAGCCTGAAGAGCTGGGCGCTGTTTGCTTAGGCCTCTTCAAATCACAATGCTCCCTGTCCGAGAGAGCGACACGCCGGCTTATAGACAGGGTGCTTGTTGTAGTTGAGGATATGAGTGATTTCGGCATCGTTAATGTAATGAAGCTTATGCGGTTTAGCTATCTAGACCATCTCCCGTGGTTGGAGGCCATGGGATCGGAGGTTCCTTGACGTGCCCCGCAAATGGAGGTTCAAGGTCTTATGCATATCGTCTTGGCTTGCTCCGCTCTGCACTACCGGGATAATCGCTTTCTCTTGGCTGTGGCCAAACGATTACCCAACGTGGTCAGTCGATGCCGGAGTAAAGATGCTGCAAAGATGCTGTGGGCCTTTGGGACTTTAGGAGTCCTTCCCAACCAATGTCCCAACCTTTATCCGTGTCTCACTGCGATCTTACGAGAACGCCAAGCTGAGTTTCAACGATACCCCGAACATCTGTTGACAGCTCTGCTCGGACTTGCTTTTGCCGGAGTATTCCCCGAAGACCTACTCAGTCTGGCTTTAAGCGCAGAGTTTGTCAACAAGGCTTGTAATTCCCAAGAGCTTGAGCTGAAGAAAGACTTATTCACCTTAGATGGAACTGTAGGCTTGGAGTTGCCCAAGTTGACAGTCCCAAGACTTAGTCTTGCAATTCGGGAAGAAGTGACCAAACAGCTGTGGGATTTCACTCAATCGGATATCTGCCAGAAGCCCGAGGTGCTCGAGGCTGAAGATGTGTTGCGGAATCTTCTTGGTTGAGAGATGTTTGTGCGCAAAACACATGATTCTTCCGCACTTGCGCTCGATTGATCTGGAAGTGCACTTAGACCGAAATGACCAGCCTGTTCCTGTATCCTCCGGACATTGCCAACAAAATCTCGCCTCTCAAAACTTGAATGCAAGGCTCTCTGGAGTCACCATAACTGACGACCTACTAGCTCAACTAACTAATACACGAAAGACTCCAGTGCAGCCATCTAACCAGTTCTTCCAAAATCCAGAGATTTACACCGTCGAACCGGTCCATGAGAGAGAAAGTATTTTCAATGTGGGTATTGACTTGACAGACGATCTTCTGATGGCGCTGACCAAATCCCAAAAGCATTCGTCTCACCTGGACGATTCTAAACCATCGATTCAGAGACTTGCTGTTCAGGTGACACATAAGAACCACTATTGCGACAGGACTGAGCAGTTGCTTGGATTACATGCACTCAAAAGGAGACAATTGGCGCTGGCTGGATACAGAGTCGTAGAGTTGCCTCATTGGGAAGGGTTTCCCTTGCTGCGACGCTCTTATGCCGAGAAACACACCTATCAGCACTGCAAGATATTCAGCTGTTCTGACTCTAAAAAATAGACTGATCGATTTCTCTACATATACAAACTACCAGGTGTTACTCAACATACGGCTAACATTTCTGCTTCATAGTTAACCACAGCATTGGTGTTTTTTGTTGTTGTTTTGATTAAACGATTATGTGATTGTATTGTCAATAGTGCTGTCAAACGATTAATCGCGATTAATTGGATCCCAAATAAAAGTTTTTGTTTACATAATATGTGTGTGTACTGTGTATATTTATTATGTCTATATAAATACACACACACATACAGTATATATTTTGAAAATATTTGCATGTATATACATTATTTATATTCTTATATTTTATATTATATATAAATATATTTAATATATAAACATTTAATATATACATGCATGTGTTTGTATTTATATATGCATAATAAATAAACACAGTATACACGCATATATTATGTAAACAAAAACTTTGATTTTGGATGCGATTAATTGTTTGACAGCACTAATTGTCAATAAAAGTAAAATTGTGCTTTACAGTGTTTGTTACCTAGTTCTATGATATGAGTGCTTTTTGTTTGATTTTTCATTATTAACGATGATTAGGTTAACCCTCCTGTTTAAAACTACAAGCCACATTGGTTTCCATGCAAGTTGCCAAAAATCGACACTATGAAAAATACTAAAGATTCAAGGAAAAACGTAAAAACTGTATTGTAGCCTGCCAGAGATTAAAAACTATAAATATGTGAGCAATATAATAATTCCCATCTGTTTTTTTATTGTTATTTCTATTGTGTTAGGGGTCAATTTGTACTGTGCATTTTTGCTATGGTTCTCAAACCCATTGTGAGAGTAAATGAGTTTCTCACACTTATTTTCAATGCTACATCAATCTAGTACTTTGACAGAGTTTTTGATTGTGAAACAGTGAATTTTCTTTGGATGAAACCGAAGGCAAGTCTCAATTCCAAGTAAACTTTGACTCTTAAATTTCATAAGTTTGCATGCATTTAATATTTTGTTGTTTGACAAGCAACAATAAAGGTTTTCTGTTGTTTACCTGACTCTAGTGTTTTTTAGAAATGTTGATTTTTGGCAAATTTTAGGGAGCCATTAGGGATCAATTCGACCCCAACACAAGAGTTGTAACAAAATTGTTACAGCCTTTCCAAATTGACCCAACACATGGAATGACACAACTGAGACAGGCTTGTACTATATAGTCAATGTTACACATAACACACAAATTCTCAGTATTTCATGACCTCAAGCGCTGGCTGAATTAAAAAAAAATAAATAAATTTTATGGTTAGTACATAATAAACATCAGAGAAAAGACTCAACTGTTGAAGAAATCCATGAAGTGTATTTGCCGGAAGATTGGGTCCCCGATATGTCAACTATGGTCAATATTTCAGCTCAGTTCTGTGCAATAAACAAACCTTTTCTGAAAAAGGCTTTTCATAATATACAACAAATCACAAGTTCAATGTGAAAATAATAATGCATGGTGAATAATAATTTGACATGGTGAGGTCTCATCAATTGTGATGCAGATTTACACTTTCCAATCACCGTTGGTGTCTAAATGACATTAGTAAGTGTGTATGACACAACATAAAGTTTTTTTTTACTATTTAACTTCCGCTTCCTTCTGTTGATTTCTCAGTGCAGTTTGTTGTGGAAGGCAACATCAGAGATATATCTAGCATATCTTTTTTTCATGGTCTCATCATTGTACCGTGATTGAAGCTGAGGTTATGTAGGCTTATATTCACTAGATGTGTCAAGTTTTTGTGCAGATATTTTTTATTGATTGATCATTTTATATATTCTAAAGCATCTGAAGGATGGTGCCTGATCAGGTAAGTGTACTAGCATAACTTTAGCGCCCTAACTTTATTTTATAATGAAATGTTACTAAAAGACTCTGTTCCAAACTTATCGCTTTTGGGACCTTGAATGAGACACTTTCCCCGCCACGTTTCTCTGCTGGGATTGTCCATGGAAGTATTTTATTGTAACAAAATAAAATAAAATAAAAATAACATTTAAGAAAATCCAGATTTAAATAATATTTTACAAGACACCAATGGTTGAAAATCAGAATTATTTCCACACAATTATATCCAATGGCATGACATGATGATCCTATGATCACCTTACTTCATTAGCACTGTTGGTAGATGAAAATATATCACCCAAGCATGCATAAAAATGCTAAATCAATTAAGAAATGTAAACAAAAAAAAGGAAACAATAATATGTCAGAATTAAGGATTTTGTATTACATGAAATGCAGTCATACTAGATTCAGAATTGTTTCTTATCCTTGCATCAACACGAAAGCCAATTATTTGTTGTTTGCACGCAGATAGTTTTGCTCACACTCTGCTAATGAGTCACCAAACCACAACAATATCATTGTGAATGTGCCATATATTGATGCATGCATTTGGCACACATCTGATTCTCTTTTGACCCTCAATGATTAGTTACTTATTTGCTTTGTATCAGTTAAATAAACTATTACCTAAATATTATAGTGATTGGTAAATGTTGCCATAATCAAACATTTATTTATAACGACACAAAGTTGTATAATTCATTTATAAGACATGTAAAAAGCAGGATAATGTACAGACAATTGCTTATATACACAATATACAATTTGACTTTACTGACTCCCCAAATATTCAAACCCATAACATCTGCTTCTATTTGAGAATAGAAGAGTTAGATATTTAATGTGTATCTGACATTTCAGTAAAAACGCACGAAATATCTAAACCTGTGAAGAATGGGTGTTTTATCATAAGTTTTAATAAAATATTCCGATTTCTTGGCATGCTTCTAATGCAGCACCGTTCATCGTCCCGCCCCCATCCAGAATCTTCACAGACTGACACTGACGCAAACCAATCAAATCCTTACAGTTCGCCTCATCTGATGACGTCGCTGCCACCAGTACGTGTGCAAATCAGCATCAGCCAGCGTGCAACGCTCAGCCAATCAGCGCCTTCCAACGAGCTGCTCTCCGACCAATGGCGAGGCTCCACGACGGGGAAGCGCTTACGGCTTATAAACAGGCGAGCGAGCGCCGTGAGTTACAGTCGAGACTCCGAGAAAACACGAGAAACACACGCCCTTGAGATTATTAGTGCTTATTACTACAGTTCTCAGGTAAGAATATATCTCATTTACACTCTTAATTTAAGCGGGTTATCTTACAAAAAGCTGTAAAGATCAAATGAACCCGTTATAGCGGTTTTGACTGGATCGGTGGTGTTGAGAAACGGTTAAAAACCGTTGCCTCAGTTGGTAGACTAAAAAAAAAAAATATATTTATGTAAATATAAATGTACAAAAAAGATTATAAGTGCGTCTTGCTTGTAATGTTCATTCATTCGATAGTAACCGGTAAGACCAAACGAATGAATGATTTTATCTTAATTAGGTTTTTATCTCAAGTAAATGTGTTTTAAGTTGTTAAGGACTTTTGGTATAAATATCATAATATTAATATGTGGAGTAAATAGTAAAAGTGAAGATTTTATTTGATGATGGTGATGAATCAGCACCCACGAGGTTGAATTTGAGACTAGTACAGAATCTGGTTTAGTTAATGACTGCTTCATATTTTTTTAACAAATGGTGTCTATTGTTTACATTGCTATTGGCCTTAAGTAAATATGTATTTAGTTTTTTCACATTTGTATATTTTATCCACTTAATATGCATTTGCAGTTGAACTCAATGCAGCCATTCATGTCTTTTTTTTGGTTTAACTATCAAGAAGAAAATGACCAGATAATTAGTTTTTGCATGAAAATGCATTGCTTGATGATTATATAAATGATCCAGCCAGTGAGTGACGTGTGCTTCATTATGTACCTGCCCTGACCTGTGACCTTTATTTTTACAGAAATTAGTGGAGATTTGACACAAGATCAACGTCAAAATGCGATTGGTCTGCCTGTTCCTGCTGGTGGCCGGCAGCGTGTTTGCCGAAGAGGACGACAAGAAGGAAAGTATTGGGACCGTGATTGGAATAGACCTCGGGACGACCTACTCGTGGTGAGAATGAGTTTGGATTTATTATATACAGGGGTCACGGGGTCATTAAAATGGATTTGCAAGACAAGGGAGAAGCGTGCATATTTATATACTTCTATATTATTATTATTATTTTTTTTTAAATTTTTTTTTTAATTATTTTTATTTGTTTAT